GACATCAAATCTGATGGTCGAAAAAAGGCCTAGGCTTGTAGCCAAAGGTTTCTCCAGGTTGAAGGAATCGACTTCAATGAAGTCTTCTCACCTGTAGTTCGTTTTGAGACAGTGCGAATGATGTTTGCACTATGCGCACTTGAAAACTGGCAAATTCATGCCGTTGATGTGCGAAATGCCTATTTATATGGCAATCTCGACGAAGAAATATATATGGAGCAACCTGAAGGCTTTAAAGAGCCAGGGCGCGAAAACATGGTTTTCCAGCTTCGCCGCGCGCTCTACGGACTTAAACAGGCAGGGTTAGCTTGGTGGAAAGCCCTCGACCGGTCCATGGCCGACCTAGGCTTTAAACGCCTTGTGTCAGACGCTGGTATATTCGTCTACAACAAAGATGGCAATTTCTGCATTGCCGTAGTCTATGTTGACGATGCCTTCTTTATGGGGCCCAAGAACTCTCCTACCGTCCTAAGGCTTAAAAGAGCTTTCATGGATAAGTGGGAGTGTAGAGAACTCGACGGCAAAGAGTTCTTGCGCATGCGTATCACTTGGAAAGGCAACTGTGTCCACCTTGACCAGCGAGCCTACTTAGATAAAATACTGCAGCGTTTTGGTATGGAGAATGCGCGAGTCGCACCCACGCCGCTGCCAACTGGCTATTTGCCTAAGACCAATGAAGCACCTGTTGATCCGGTTCTTAGGAACCGTTTCCAGACCGTCACCGGATCGTTGCTTTATCTAATGATTGGCACTCGACCAGACATCGCCTTTGCAGTGACCGCTCTTGCGCGACACTCGGCCAATCCCTCTGAGGATCATCTCGCCAAAGCCTTATACATTTGCCGCTACTTAGTCGGCACCAAGGATTATTCCTTGAAGTATGATGGCGGCTCGGGACTAGGCTTTTTGGCATGCACTGACTCTGATTGGGCTTCAGACCCTAATTCAAGACGGTCGATCACAGGATACTTCATAAAATTGGCTAACGGGATAGTCTCCTGGACTTCACGAGCACAGAAAACTGTTGCACTGTCGTCTACAGAAGCCGAGTATATGGCACTCTCTGATTGCAGTCGCCAAATGCTCTGGATACGAGCTTTGTTCATGGAGCTCGGGTATAGGTTTAACCGATTACCCATCTGCGGTGATAACCAAGGATCGATATTCATCGCATCCAATGCGGTTACTGAGCGCCGCTCCAAACATATTGATGTGCTATACCACTTCATTCGAGAGCACGTCAATAAGGAGCTTGAGCTGTTCTACATCGAAGGTTCTGAGAACCCCGCAGACATGTTCACCAAGAACTTAGGACATGAAAAGTTCCTCAAGTTCAGGTCACAACTGGGCCTAGTGTTCGGTTGAAACCGTCATCCTCCCTGTGGCTGCATTTTTGCGCCATATCCGCTTACGTGCCTACCGTTGCACTCAGCGAGGGGGAGTGTTGAATTGGCGCTCTACAGCCACCGATTCACAGGCGCTGGCACAGCCCGCCTTGACTGCCGTCCTCGGCACAGCTGTATCTATTTCTGACACAATAGGCTGTGCGTTGCTACGTTCCACAGCCTTCTTTATTGTTCTATAGCTTAGCATGTGATTGCACCGCATAGCCACTCTCTGTAGTATATATACAGGCCTGTCT